AGCAGCTCCTGCATCTGTRTTCTAAAACGCAACTTATTTAATGAAGGCAACTTTTTCATGTATGTCAATATCGATTTGAATCAAAGTAAGTCATCGGCGTCGTTGTTGTCTTGTTGATCCTGCCTCAAAACTTGAATCTTCTCTTTCTCTAATTGAATAMATGCTTCTAATCCATCATCTTTACGTTTTATTTTTTGTGTTGTCATAGCTGTTGTAGAGGACGAGGCTGAAGAGATGTTATAATTACGTCTTGCTTCAGTTTCATATTCTGTTGTCATGACCGACTCAGACCGTTCAAGTTCAAATTCCTGGAGTTGAGGGTCATCCCGAGAAAAGCTATCAAAATTATCTTGTGTCATGTTCGTGTCAAATTTGTCTACTAGACTAGCATAATGTAGACTCAGAAGAATCCATTAAATAGCTTTCTGCTGATTCCTCTGGTTCCAATATATTTCCATCTTGTTTTCGGGGTTTTAAAATAACTTTTAAAAATGACATGGAMTCAAAATATGACTAAGTTCCTGTGTACTCCGGTTCATTGTCAGCGTCAGCACCCGAACGAGGCTTGGGAATTTTTTTTAATTCTTTTGCATAAGTATCCCTTAAATTTTTCCATTTTGTTTTTGGCCCCATCAGCTGAAATAAAAAAGTATTGATACTCCAGGTGATAACAAATAACAATAAGAGTCGAAATGGTTGAATGTATTTTTTTAATCAGGGCTTCGTAATCGTAATTTATTGCGAAATATTTCTTTTTATAACTAAGATTTKAAATTTCAACACAAAATTCCCTATACCGTGTGGAGCCTAGATAACTTTTTTATTTATCTACAAAACATTTGTTAGTTATAATAATAAAAGGTTAATGAATGGCATTAAATTTGAATTCAATGGTATAATATCGTTGTGTACGAAAAACGATTCTGAGCGAAGATGGTTAGTCAGTTTATAATATCTTACTAAGTGTATTTGATGATATTATTGTGAATAAAGTAATTAATTTTAATATTAGGCATTAGTATTTACTACAGTTGGTACAGTTAGTTAAATTCATTTTTCCCGAAAAAAGTTTCATTTGAAAATGTCATTATACGTGTATGTAAAATATAACAATATAATCTAAGAGTTTCATATACCAGCAAATAATATTTTTATTTCACAACAAAATAACTAAAATCGTTAACCTTGGTTTTAATGATGTGTAATTTCGTCCAAATTTGAATTAAAAATGTTTSTAAATATATTTTTTAGATTTTTTGGTTACAGTATGAACAATTTATGAGAATGATTGTTTTCAATTTTTAATTTTTGGTTATAAAATTTGAAAATTTGAAAATTTTTTAATTACAATGATTGATAATTATCCAGATTTTGATAAATTTTGTAAAGATTTTAACTTTAAATGCTTATAAAAAAAAATCGTGCCTATGTATTTTTAATATTTTTAAACTGTTATTGTAACAATATATCAGGAGCCTTGTATTAATTTTCAAGCTTTTTTACTGAACAAATAGCATTTTATTGATGTTTATAGAAAAAAAAACTAAAAAAATTGAAATTTGAATTTGTCCGTAAAAGCTAAAAACGAATCAAAATATTCTCAAAATGTATGGTTTATTTAAAATCAAAATATAAACTCAGTAAATAATTTTTAAACTATTTCGTCATTTTTA